ATTTAATAGAAACTGGAAATCCAGATGCATTCAAACAGTATCTGTCGGAGTTTGATAACACCATTCATTTGTGGGCGACACCCAATTAGCGTCTTTCTGCATGTAAGTTCCTTCAGTATTGCCTGAAGTGTCTGAAAAGGAAGAAGTTCAAATATTTTTCCTTAAATTTGGCAAAGAAATTTCTACATATTATAACTGATCATGTGAGAATATGACACCCTAGGATGAAACAGGGTAAAGGCCTGAAGCTTCAAAGGCTATAGGTCAGTGAAAAGCATTACACTACTGTGTCTGGATTGTGGAGACAAATTTCAGGCATTTGCTAACAAACATGCGAAGCCCACAAGGGAGAAATTGATGCAACCAAAACCCTCATATATTGCATACAATACAAGTACATGATGATGACAGAACTAATGATCTTTGCAGTGGTTAAGAGCATTTACGTCTGCACTCGAACTCATCCCTCCAATATATATATCTTTTGCATACAATACAAGTACACGATGATGATGACACGGAACTAATGATCTTTACAGTTGATGGTTTTTGTTTTGCTTTTTTTATTCATTACACTTGTATAATTTATGCAAAGATTAATTGGGCTTTGGCTTTATTCTCTTGGCTCTTGAATACAAGAAGACTCCAGCAAGAGCCAGACCAGTCCCTGCAATGCAATGGAAGCCAAGCCAGTCATTATATTGATTAGAACAGAAATTAATCTTAAGCAGGCAAGTAATGTATTGATAATTAAGGAAAGTGTGACTGACCGAGAGAATTTATGGGTGAGACGGGTATTTGGAAGAAGATGACTGAGGAGACAATCACCACCACACGCTTCACACAGTTCCCTACTGCGTGAGTCACCGGCGATACCATCTCCAGTATCTTATAAGACACCTGCTTTGTTTTCCCCACAAAACACATGAATTACATACAAATAATTAAGCAATCACAAGTCACAACAAACAAACTCTCTGAAAAAGTGTCACCTGCTGATAAGTATGGAAGCAGAACCCAGCCAGAAGTGATCTCACGCATAACTCTCTGATATTCAATCCTTGGCTTGCCTGAAATTAAATTAATAAACAACATTCTTACAATAAAATATAAGAATTAATGCTTCATGCTTCATGCAGGGAAGCTGTTTTGCTTATTTAGAACTAATGGTACTAGTAAGTAAGAACTACTCACAGCTGAATGCAGGTATGCAGGAGTAAATTTAACGCCTTCCAACAGAATCGCTGAAGGAACCAACAGGATGAAGGAAATGATAGTTATCACTGAGAAGAGATTGATATTGTCCAAAGATTCCTGAATTAGGAATCAAAATTCCACCTCATAAATTATTATATCATCTTCCATACGACCATATATAACATAATAATGGCATTAGCTGGTGGAGCCATGTTTGGTTTCAAAGCATTCTGTGAATGAAAACAAAGAAATCCACATCAGCTGGTGGTTACTAATTTTACCTCTTTCTTAACCATGAGCTTCTTGCTGAGTACATTACGCGATTGGTTAGTAAGATTAGAGGCCATTGCGCTGCCGAAACCAATCCTGTTTCAGAAATGGAATAATTGTTAAAGCACTTGTAAGAAAAAGCCAATGCAATGCAAGGATGTGCTTGTAAGGGAACTTTTTGTTACCAATTAAAAGAGGCCTCGGTGAAGGATGCCAATGCCACTCCACCTACAATTGGCACAAGAGAAGAAACCACCCAGACAGTCGGCCTCTGTGTGCACAGAGCAATCAGCAATCAGCATGATCAATAAACTGAAAGTCAAATAACTTCTTCACATCAACAACACTGCTTTTCGCTGATTGCGGGGACAAAAACTTGGAGAACAAAAACCCCTACCTCTGCAAGTAAGAGGGCAGAGAACAGGACCGTGAAGAAGGGCTCCATGGCTTTGATTGTGTGAGTGAAGGAAACGGCAACTCTCCCAATACTGATGTTGGTCAATAGGTTGCCCATTGTGTGTGCCACAGCCAGCGGTACAATTGCTCCAAGCTGCGATCCAAGTCAATTAATAAGCAAAAGGAACAAAATTATGTAAATCATGCAACAAATTTAAGCAGAAGTAAACAAACAAACAAACACATGGCTCATCTCATGGATGAACAAATTTTATTTTGTGGCAAGAGGGAAGCAATAAGTTGGTACCTGTGAGCGAGTGAAGTTTGGCCTGGGGTAGAGGTTAAAACCCCACATCAACAAAATCATCAGAGTCCCGCAGCCAAACTGAAACGCTGTAACCGTTGCTGGAAACGGATAGACTTTCAGAACCTATGAACAAGCTCTGGCCTTTAAGTTCTAGCTTTCTTATTTAGGCCAAAATCAATGATCATCTTACACCATGCTTTTTAAACAAGAAAAAGCAATTCAGAAATGAGAGAACAGATATATAAAGGTAGAGCAATGAGCAATGAACCTGTTTGTTGTAGATGTTGAAGTAAATATTCAAAAGGTACCAAATTCCAAACAAAGCACCAAGCTGCAAAGTCTTAACCATCCCCCTCGGATTCGAAGCATCTTCAGCACTCTCAGGAGCAGCCCTTACCTTCAAATTATCATATCTTCGACTCGAGAAAAGGAAGGAAGCAGAGA